ACACACACACACACACACACACACACACACACACACGTCTTCCACCGTGCAGGGCACGCGGGTTCTGGGCCAAGCCTGGCTCCCTGGGGTGGGCTGGGCGCGGAGCAGACTGCACTGTTCCCCGATCGCTGGGTGGCCTGGCCCCGGGGAGCCCCGGCTCCGCTGTGATCGGGCCCCTAGTCCGCCCCAGGGCCGTAACCAATCCAATGAAACTATGAGGGCACCGACCGGCGCGCGATTGGTCGGGGCAGCGATTTAGCCCTGGCCGTGCGAGGGGAGGGCCTGGGGCGGGCCTCACTGCGGCTCAGCCCCCGCCGGGACAGGCAGCCGGCGCTCCCGGGGTGGAGATCGGGCCCAGCCTGGACTGACGGCGGGAAGCTCTCGGGAGCTGGGCTCTCCGCCCGCACCTCAGGGCCTTTGCTTGTGCCCCTTCACCCTGTGCAAGGCAGGCGGTCGTCTTCCCGCGCTGTGCGGCTCTGGGATTCTCCTTCCCCTCTGTGTAATCGGAACCGCCCCTCACCCGCCTGGTGCCTCCGAAAACCAAAACCGACACAAGCCCAAGTCACAGGGTGGTCGGGACCGTCATGCTCAGTGACGTGAATATCCCATGGCCTTTCTTATATGAGAAACCAAAGCAGAAATAAAGAGCAAGGTAAAAGCCCTTTCTCAGATGGGAAGGAGCTCAAGGGGGAGGGGGGGGGATGGACCCAGGAGTTCAGACGGGTTAGGGGCGAGCACTAACTCCCCACCACGGAAGCGAGCGTGGCCTTCGCACGTGTCCCGGTACAAGAAATGAGAACTGGACAAGAAAACAACAAAGTTTGTTACATAGACCTCCAATTTCTAAAAACTATATTTTACCCCAAATTGACATTATACCACATGAACAAATTTGGATCCTACGTATTAATTAAGATGTTACAATGATACCACATGTTCAACTAAAGCACTGTCAATACAAGGTCAGTAAAGTACAGTTTAGTGAACCTGAAAAATGTGGAATAAAAGAAGAGCGAGCCCTAGGCGCTCAGAGAAGCTTTCAGTACAGTTATTCCCAGATAATGGGATTTCTGGGAGCAAAAAGTAATTTTAAATCAAATTGGGGTCTCAGACTAGGGTTAATAGCTTTTTGTTTTGACAAAAGGAGTACTGAAGAAAACAGAAATCTTATTCACTACTTTTACTATATCTTAATGTTAAAGTTCAAAAACCAGAAAGGCTGGACGGTAGCTCAGTAGTGGAGTGTTTGTCTAGAATGTGCAAGGCCTGGGCTTTAATCTCCAGTAAAATAAGTAAATAAATAAATAAATAAATAAATAAGAAAATCAGCGTTTTAAAAAAGATAGTAGCCATCTATGTACATATGCATATTCAACAAAATAAACGTATCCACTCCATACACTATGTATGTACTTCCTCCTTTCTTCCCAGACCAATGAAAACTTCTTCAAGGGCGAGCACATATGCTTGGAAATACTTAGTAACTGCTCTTATACTTCGTCTGGCAGTATCCCTCATCCCAAGTGTATTTCATTCACTCACTCAAACATCTAGGCAGACTGACGGCCTGGTCCCCCTCCCACAGACTGGGATACAGTGTGTGTGGGTGGGTGGGAGAACTCAAAACCCTGTGGGGCCCATGGCATCGGGGCATTTCTCACTCACATTACACTTCACTTTCCTTTGTGCAATATCGATTTTGTCCTGTTTAATCCAACACTGTTTTTCACTGGTGAGAAAGACACAGGCAGAACAGTTACACATACTCATGTCTTTATAAAGCATTTATATGTCAGAGTAAATCCAGAGGACCTCGTCCACGTCAGTTTTCTAAGTATTATGCAAGGGAGGGTACAGGTCCGTGTAGGAGTTGAAGGGACTGCTTGGGGATGGAAAGATAGGACGCAGCTTTTACCCCTGAGCAGCTGGCAGGCTGCACTGGCGTGTGGTAACCCTAACATGATGTGGTTGTGCCTGACACAGCCCCCCCCGAGAGGCAGAGGACGTGTGACCCCAGGACCCAGTCCTGCCTGCAATGCTTGAGTATTGCTGAGGGCTGCCCGCCTTTACCCTGGACTGTTCTGCAGTGCATACCTGTCACAGGCCCAAGCGTTGTCCAGACAGCGAGGCCGGGGGTTGCGTGTGCCACACGCTCAGTGTCATTCGTGTCACTTACAGTGGCACCTCCAGAAGCGGGGGAAGGTAGAATTCACTGGCTTTCCTTACACCTGCCTCAGCTCACTCGTTTTATTACTGGTGCAGAGGATGCACTGACAGATGAAGAGGAGACTGTACTATCAGGACAGTAGGGACAGGAATCGGGGTGAGCTCACACAGTATCCTAGAGGAGCGCCGATCAGCAGCGGCACCACCATCTTTATAATCCAGTCCAGATGGTTCCATTGGTGTCCGGGCTGTGATGTGAATTCCAAGCAACTGTAGCTGCTTCCTGGTCATGGCTGCAGAGCCAGCTAAACTGTGCCCTTTTCCTGGCACAACTTCAATGAGACAACAGTTTGTTTTATCCCACCCAAGACTGAATATTTTAATGGTCATGGATTTGCTTCTCACAGGTGCTAGTTTCAGTCTGCTGGTGAAGATCATATTCTGCCTCGAGGCAGCGAGTGAATGCTTCCAAGGCTGAAAATAAAGCCTAGAAAAACATGAAAACAATGTGCTGTTGTGGATTTGGATTTCTTCTTCTCCTGGAAAGAATTCCAACATTCTACCATGATCCCAGCAGGAAAGCCTTTGTTTTCTTTCTGCTGAGTGACATGGCATGTCAAGCACTCAGGGGAACTAATTGCATCAGGCTGCCGAGTTTAGAGCCTTGATAATCCACACTTCTCCTGGCTGGCAAGGTGGGACTGACTAGCACGGCAAGAGAGCAAATAACTCCTTTCCCAGTCTCCATTTCCCCAGTGAAGCAGCACAGGTGCAGAACCCTCCCTCCAAGCGGAACAGCAGCACTCAGAAAGCCGAGCCCGCCTCTTGGGAAGTAAGACTCTTACCTCAAGTAGGAATTCATGCATTGCTAAAACAAAATTGAGAGACTCGTGTTTTTTGTGAATCATGGCTAACAGCTGAAAGGCATCTCTCGCCACCCTTTCTGTCCTCGGGTCTCTGTGGATGGCTGAGACATCAGCCACCTGTGCTGGGTGTGCTCAGCATTTGCCCACCCTGGAGTGGGCAGGGAGCCTTTCTCCGTTCTGCATCTCCTTGTTGGGAAGCCTAGGTCTTTTCTCCTAGCACAAATACGATTTCATAAGAGAAACCAGGCCTATGGAAGATGGAATGTGCCCGGTTCTGAACCATTCCCCTCACTTCCCGCCTCAGCACAGGGAGTTCCTCCTAGTTCACATTCCAGCCCTGGCCAGTCACACACCAGCCTGATCGGCTCACCTAGGGGTAAGAACACCAAGTGCGCAGTGGCTGAGACCAGGGGTCATTGTTGGGCTCTTTTGTGGTCACTGTTCCTTCTCGGGATTGTAGATTTTCTAGGAGATTATCTTGTTCCTATCAGAGGCTGTGGATTTTCTAGATTATCTCATTCTCTGCATGCTGTCGGTTATACTCACCATTTCTTAGGATACTCACCCATCTTGATGAGCAAGTTTAACAAAACTAGGAACTTACTTGCTGAAAACTTACCAGCTTCACATTGACTGGACGCTTGCATCAGGAGAATTATATACATTGCACAAAAGATTTGATATTTCCTTACTAATGACCTGACAGTGATATTACGTTACTTGTTGTATGCCTTCAGATAAAGCTACGTGCTAATAATGTTAAAGCAGGCGAGATCTGTGTGGCTGGTAAACCCAGTACTAGCAGAAAGAAACTGAGGTCCTGGGATGTGACAGTCACCCTGGATTGTCAGATTGGTTGGCTTGGAAACCACCCCGGGGGTGGTTGGAGCACACCTCTGGGTGTGTCTGGTGGGTCATGGAGGTGGGCCTTTCTGGGGTTCCTGGCTCCTTCCTCACTGGTTCTGTTCCTTCCTCTGCTTCCTGGCTCCCATGAACTGAGCAGCTTTACTCTCCACGCCTTTCCACTGTGAGGTCCCTGCTGTGGAGCCCACTGACCATGGACTGAATCCTCTGAAACTGTGAGCCAAATAAGCTTTTCCTCCTTTAAACTGTGGGTATCGCATAATTTGTTCCAGCAGCAGGAAAGCTGACTAATACCTGGGACTTGATTTTGAACAACAATGTTGGTCATCATAAGCTTGTGGGATAACATAAGCATATATGTGACTTTTCAGGCTGACTATATTTGTACTTTTGGGATATTCTGCCTGAAAGAAGATATTTGCAGGCACAGTGAGTAAAAGTGATATCATCACCCTGGCAAGATAGGTATTAAAATAATCTATAAATATACAGCAGTCCCTTCTTCCCTATACTTCACTTTCCATGGTTTCACTGACCCCTGGTCAATACAGTCAGAAAATAGTAAAAATTTCTGGAAACAACTGATTAGGTTTAAATCATGTGCTGCTCTGAGTAGCATGCTATAACCATGCACCATGCGGCTCCATCCCCCCAGGACGTGGCTGGTCCCTTTGTCCAGTGTGTCCTGCCACCTCCTGCCAGCCACTGCTCAGTAGGCTGTCAGGTCTCTGTTGCACTATCACAGTGTCGGTTTTCCAGTAACCAATGTTTTAATATCACAATGGTCCCCGGACACCAGGGTAGTGAGGTCAGCAACTCAGATATGCCACAGGGGAGCCGGAATGTGCTTCCTTTCAGAGCAAGGTGGAAGTTCTTGACTTAACAAACAAGAAAAATAATACGTTCAGTTTGCTAAGATCTATGCATGGTAAGAATGACTCTTTCATCCATGAAGTTATAAAGAAGGAAAAGGGACTCCATGCTAGCCCTGCTAGTATACCTCAAGCTGCAAAGTTATGGCCACAGAGTTTAAAAAGTGCTGAGTTAAGATGGGCGAGGTGTTGAGTTTCTGGGTGAAGGACATAAACAGCAACTGCGCCCCTTGGGGCAGCCACGTGGTGTGCCAGACACCCAGCCTGTGTGAAGACTCCAGAAAGGGTCTCCTGAAACAAGCGATGCCAAGCCACAGATTCAGGGAGAGAACTGGAATAAGAAATATAAAAATTAAGAGAGGCTGTACCTGCAGATGAATGACCTGCTGCCACATTTCCAGCAGATAGAAGACTATTTAGGAGAAAAGAAGCCACTCACAGCAAGTCTTACGTTGACATAAAGCTGGCTTTTCTGCAAGAAGATGTTCAGGACAAGCTGCACTCAGAGATGTGCAAATGGCATAAAACACATGCTCTCAAAATGAAGCCCCAGAATGTTCTATCTGAGAGTGGAGGGCACAGTCATTAGTGTGACTGTTCCATTTTCATCATAATCTCCTGCTGCACCTAATGGATACACTAAGCTTTATCACAGCTACGTGTATGTAAGGAAAACTACCCTACGTACAGCTGAGTTCCATTCTTGGATTCAGGCTTCTGGCCCAGGTATTGGAAATTCTATGCCCCATGGGCAAAGGAGGGTTGCTGTACCTAGATAGGAACAGAAAAATAAAGAGAGGGAAAGAAAATTCCTGCCATGGGAAACCCTGGAAAGGAATGCAGGATGCCGAGCAGGATGAAGATGATGTATTTTAAGTTTCCTTGGTGCAGAATTATGTGATCCCGCCCCCCACACACTGTAAAGTTGAAGATCAATAGGAAATGGGCATCAAATGATACTGGTAAGATGAGAAATTACTATTCCTTTTGATTGTTGAAAAATGCAAGTAAATATGTTTGGAAATGAAGCACAAAATCTACTTTTCCTTTAGGGAAAAATGTAACTCAAGGAAACCAATGCTCAGCCTACCTCCCACCACTCCCCTCCCTGCTGCATGCCAGTGCACGACGTAGCTACGTGTGGAATGGATGTTTGGGTTTCTTTGCCTCAAAACATTACACAATGTCAGGTTTTGAGTCCTAAAAACATACCAAATGTTTTCCTTTCCTATTCCTAAGCTCACATTTGACCCTTTGGAGCTTATCGTAAGAATTCTAAGACCTTGGTAAAATGTATAATAAAGACTGATGGTTGCCTAGGAAACGTCCCTGAGCTAGCCAGGTATCTCACTGCAGCTAATTTGATAACAAAGCAAGCAGCATGGAGTGCAGATGTGGGATTGGCTCTGTTTTCATTCCCCGGGCTCTGTAATTATGCAGCACAGCAGCGTGTCCTTCTTCTTTTTGACAAAGGCAGCGTGACACTCAAGTAATTCTGAAACTGTGCAGCCTATGTGATTTCTGAAGTCCTCTAGATACACAGGCAAGCTTTGCACATTATCTGGCATAAGGAATACCACTATCATAATACCATATTCATGGGCATTTTAAGGCACATAGGATGATACAGCTATTTACTCTGTCTGAGATGGAGCGCTGTGATGTTCAGGATGAAATGCTTGGGGCCAGGTCAGTCATGCTGAAGTTATTAACCTCCACAGCAAAGGTGCAAATGGAGCTCTCCCTCACACTACAAAGCCCATTAGCTGCTTGTTTACATTTGCTTATTCTGATCTAAATTGAGAGCCTCTTTCCTGAGCAATATTTCCACAGCTGTTACTCCACAGAAGGCATAAACACCAGTGCTATTATCTCTGAGCTGTGTGTGAAGCCCTTTCTGTCTGTATTTTCTCATCAGAGCTCAGACGCCCAGTCATCTGCTCCAGTTGTTTGCACTCGATAGGAAGCCAGATTCTGCCCAAATCTGAAACTTCTCAACTTCAACCTATCAAAAACTGAGTCACTGAGTCACCCCGGAGGTAGGGACCCTTTTCATCCTCGGAGATCTGAATCCAGTGTCCCTGGTGGACCTGTTCTTGTTTACCTTGTGAAGCAAGGGCTCCTGATAGCCTCTCATGAACACAGCCCAACATGAGCCCTACTCAGGTACCTGACAGAACAGGCTTCTTTCTGCTGCAGTTGCCCTGCTCAGCTCCTGAAGGGCAGCCACTGAAGCCTGTGCCATCTGGACTTCATAGCGTCTATCAGTTGTTGCAGAATAATTTTGAAATTGGAGTCAAGACTCTTCATGCTTTTGTATGCAACATTTAAACAATCCTCAATGGGCAAACAAGTAGACTGTCCTTTCTTTGTGTGTCCCTATCTACAGAAGATTTGTAATCATCAACCTTCACACACAGACACCTTCCACTTTCAGGGTACGGTGACCGCCAACCAGTGTAAAACCTGCCCACCACCCCAACAAAACTCAAGGTCTAGTTAGATAAATAAAGCAGGGGTTTTTTGTCTCTAGTATTCAAGTTACTCATGATTAGTGTAACATTCCATGTCAAAGTGATATGGAGGAAGAGATGTAACTTCCAGACCTACTAGATACCTGAAAAGCAAGTTCGTGTTCTCCAAAATCGAAGAGTGAATTCTAGAAACAACAGAGGTTAAGAGTAGGAAAAATTTATTGAGAGAAAGAAAGCTTCTGCCTAAGAGAAACAGAAGGGGGACCGGAAAATGGGTGGCCCGCCCACCCCACAGTTCAAAGATGTTTTATACAGCAAGGCCATGTGGTGAGGCAGGTACAAAGTGGGACGGAACTGTAAGACCCAGTGGAAGTTTACAAGGTGGGCATGAGGTGGGACAAAACCATGACCAACCAGTAAGATCACAAGTACATTCACCCCAGTGATATTGATTAAATGGGGGTCAAATGGGGGAGCAAGTCACGAAGCAAGAATACAAGGAAAGAGCAAGGATTTTCAGTGGTAAGGGGTGGGTCAGGGACCTTTTGTGGAAGATCTTTGTCCCCTACCCAGGTGACTGATGCCTGTTTAGAATATCAATCACTGCTATTCATCCTAATGGGTGTGTAATTTCTCTTCTTTTACAATGCTGGCCTTCAGTGAATGTGTCTTCACTCTCCTCCAAGTTAGCTCCTTGTGGGCTGGCCCTGTCTAACTATCTACAAGATATCTAATTAACTTACCTATCTGCAGTAAAACTATTGGACTGAATTATGGGTCACAAGAACCAGAGAACAGAAGGAAGGAGAAAAGTAAAAAGAAATAGAAGCTGGGATGGGCCCATGACACTTATGGGGAGACTCCAGCATGGCTGTGGAAAATGGCCAGGGTTAGATGTTAAGCCAGATGTTGGGTGTTAGGGGCATATACCTTAAATTTATTAGTGTAAGCTAAAGGAAGGTTTAGAAAAGTAAAATGTTTTTAGTATATTTTTCAGGCAAGTATGGAATAGGGTGACAGGTGTTGACAAATGTGTATGTGCATGTTAGATGGTACATTAAAGCCAGATGGTGCCAAATACCATACTGGGTGTTGAGAAAAAGCCAATGCATACACAGACACTTATAATTTATGCAAACACACAGTGTACAAAAACTTGAGCAAACCAGTAGCACTATCCTGGACAGAAAACAAATAAAAATTGAAAATCATATTGGGTTATAGGAGGTATCTTTAGCCCTTTCGTTGTCAAAGAAAATTAAAAATGCTTAGAGAGAGCAGAGGAGAATGAGCTGCTCTTCCTGCATTTCTCCCTTTGGACCGGAGCAAGGGAGGAACAACTTGGGAGAGGGGCAGAAAGAGCAGAACAGGCCCGGCTGGGCCTGGCAGCCTCACCGAGCTCCAGATCCACGGCTCTGCCTCACTCTGAGCGGCTCTTCACATATTGCACTCAACTTGGGTTGATTTCCCATGGATTTTATAGAATTTCATTCCAGTTTTCATTAAAATTCTCTAAGACACATTTAACCAAAAGGAACATATAATTATAAATATTCAGGGTCAAGAGTTCTTAAGTACTTTGTCGAAAAAGAATAATGACAGGAGATCTACTTCTTCAGCATAAATAATGTATCATGAGACCGGGCTGGGGATTTAGCTCTGGTTCCACTGCCTGCCTCGCAAGTGCAAGGACCCGAGTTCGATCCCTGGTACCAAAAAACATTAGAAAGAAAGAAAAATATCATGAGACTTACAACAAAAACTTATTTTCAACCTATTTCTGATGACAACAAACACCGTATCCAGAGTAAAGGTGAGACTATGTCCAGTGCTTAAATCAGGAATCTAAATCTGTGAGTAATGATACATTCTGCTCCGATAAATTAAAGTTTGAGCTCAGATACAGATTTTTTTTTTTTAGAAAACAAAAATAATTTCATTCTTCCCAATACATTGCAAATCTTGTAAAAATTCATAGGTCCAATTAAGACACAAAACAAAACCAGGAGAAAAGGGAACCCCACTTTGAAATCGCGGCGTGAAGGAGCGGGAGAAGCCCTCTCCGCTGGGCTCCGGCGCTTTCCTGGGTCCTGCAGAAGTGAGGGAGAGGGGCGGGGGCCCCCCCGGGGCCCCCCCCCCCCCGGCTGCCTGTGGTTAAGGAAACAATAAAGGACATTGTTACGGATAGGTAGGCGACAAAGTGAGAACACGGAGGGGCCCGCGGCCGGCAGCAGCGGTGCAGCCCGGAAGTGCCTTGCCGCGGCGTGAGAATGCCGCGGGAAACACCCGCCAGAGAAGGGAGAGCCGTGGGCCGCTGCGCGCAGCGCGATTCTGGGGACCTATTAGCCGCTCCTCGGCTTCAGCTTCCGGCCCCAGTCTTTAAAGTCTGGGGGTGACTTTTTTATTTACCTTTTTTCTGGAGAGTTTTGCTTCAGCGTGTTTTCCTTGCTGCACGTAGTTTCAATCCTCTCCAAAACTTGTGTTTTAGGCGAGCGATCTCTGGGCGGACCTGGGCCAAGCAGAAGGAGGCGGGGTGGGACCAGCCCGGAGCCGGGGCCCCTTAGGACTGGAGAAGTCAACCTCTCCGCCAGGATTGAGGAATTTAAGGCTTTACCCTGGAAACCCGTGTCAACGCACCCGTGGTGGCCGCCCCGGGAAATAATTTAACCTCTCTGCCCTCTAGACTCCTGCTTATAAAAGAGGCTAAAAATGACACTTCCATCAAGGCTGGTTGTAAGGGGTAATGAATGAGCACCCACGAGAAGGACGCTTTCATTCTGGAGAACCTGAGGCATAGCACAGGAGCTGCCCAGAGAGCAGGGCCAGTGCCGGCATGTCCTGGCCCAGCTTGGTGAGGGCTCCACCGGGGCACATGTGACAGGCAGAGGCACCCACCCTGGGACATCGCAGTGAACTCTGGGTTTTGTTCAGTTTGCCAGTTTTCCACTAAGGTTCAAGATTCAATCCAGGATATTACACTGCACCGAAGAAAGTATTTATTTTGTTCTTCAAAACATTCAGGCGTCTGGCACCTAGTAAGCACCTGCTCAATGTCATTTAATCCTGCAAGGCTTTTCATGCAGGCCACATGGACAGTTCTACAACAGTTATATGCTAACGAGGATTTAATCTCAGTTTTTTCCACTGATCCAATTGCAACAAAAAAATCAGTTAATACAAAATAAGGGATAGTTTATTTTTGTAATAAAATCAAATCTACATTAATTGCTCCCTCAGAAGGAGTCCATTTCTAGGATATCATCCAGTGTGAGCAAAACAAGCCACACCTCAGCTATTTAACTCATTAATCAGCCCTCTTATGCACTCAGCAAACATTTTTCAAGGGCAGACAGGGGCCACAGGCTGGAGGACCACTGCAAACACATCAGGCTCAGTCCTTCTTCCCTAGGAAAACTAATGTTTTCATAATCTTGAGTAAGCAGTTTGAGAGAGTCTGATGCAGCCCACCATGAAGCAGAAAGGACGGGAGCCCTTATCAAAACACAGCCCAGGAAATTGGCCCAGAAGTGGGGACAGATCCGGTCACAGGCCCTTGGGCTCCAGTCACCACGTCTGCAGGACCAAGGTGGAACTGGACACAGGAGGTGCGCGTGGCCCTGCTAGGCCGGGCTCAGAGGGGACCTGGACCCCAGCACCTGCAGCCCCGCTGGTGACAACCCAAGGTGTCGCAGACTCCAGGTGCTCAGCCGCAGGCAGCCTGTTCTCTCTGTCTTTCATCTGTGAATTCAGGTAAATCTCACTCCTCCGTATGGACCAGGCGATTATGTCCCCTAGTTTATAGACGAGAAAATGAGGCAAAGTGATCTGCTGCAAGAAAAATATGAAGGAAGACCCCAAGACAAGCATTCTCTATTTTCACAATTTTCTGGAGACAGAAATTGTCCCTGGACAAAAATGGTAAAATCGGATTTATTTCCAGTTTGCTAAAAGGAAAACTGAAAAATTGAAATGAATCACCTTGGCTGCTAGAAGCTGGAAAACAATATTCCTGGGGGCTAAGATGTGTCTGATGCGTCCTCTGAGGAGGCTGCGAAGCCCGCTCTCGTCTCGATGCTCTCGTGCTACACGCTCTCGGGGTCTTTGGATCCAGCTCAGGAGAGCCAGGAATGAGGAAAAGGTCACCACTGCTCTGCCTCTGCAGATGCTGGGCCCCAAAATATGGAAAACCGAGCCCCTGCCCTGCCAGACCTCCCTTGGAGGGATCCATTCTGCTTCACGGGAACCCCAAAAATGTGTTAAATGGAAACAAACGGGTCTTCAAATACAAAGTACGAAGTGGAACAAGGTAGACGCCACTTGGATCAGACAAACAGATGCAAGAAACAGGAGAAAGAAAAGGAGAGCTGGGCCTGGACAGAGCGCGCCAGGCCTGCGTGCAGCGAGGGGCACCCGAGCAAGCTGAGACAGGGAACGTGTAAACTATTGAACGGCTTCTCTAGTGTGAGAAACTGAAAGTGTAAATAAGGACGAAAATGATTCAAACGAATAATTGATAATCTGAAACAGGAAAAGGTCCAAAGGGGTAGGGCTGGTGGGAGGGGAAGGGGACGGGGAAGAAGGGAAAGGAAAAATTATGAGAAAAGAAAAAAGAATGGAAACGAAGTCTATGTAAATAGGGAAGGGTGGAGGGGTGAAGGGTGCACAGGTAATGGGAAAAAATAAGAACCAAGATGGATCATGGACAGCTACAAGCACCCAAGGATAAATGTTAATGTATTGTATACCTAAAATGCATCAATAAAAGAATTTAAGGAAAAAAAAAAAGAAAAGAATCAGGCCTAATCTCTTTCTATCAGCCCCAGCCCTTCTGGAAATGTAAGGTCCCCTCTGCGACTTGTGCATTTCTCTCTGGGTCTCAGTTCCCCGAGAGAAGCGGAGAAGTTTGTTTTCTCCCATCCACCTCAGCCAGAGGCACAGGGCGGACCTGCAGCAGGGTGTGGTCTGGAAACAGCGAGGGGAGGGGAGACTGCACATGAAAATAGCTACTAAAGCAGCACTGCTTTTGCTTGAGGAAGAGTAAACTACAGAGAGATGCTGACAGCCCAAAGAACAGTTTTATATTAGCGACACATTTTCCTTTGTAATTTCATGCACACACTTGCCAAAATGTCTATAGAGACAGAGCGCTTGCTCTTTACTTATTGAAGAGAAAATTATCTGAAGTAGGACACATGGGGAGGGGCGTTCTTATGAGCAGCTATTGGGGGCGGGGTAACCTTTAAATCCAGTCCTGCACCGAAATGAAAATATGCAAAATCAACGAGATAAACTGTGAGAATGTTGCTGTGGCTTTATTTCTTCCACAAATTTGAGTGAACTCACAATTTTTTTCATGTGAGTATGCAAACAGTTAAACTGTAAAGCTCTTTCTGACCCCCACCCCCAAGTGCCCAGGTGGAAACAGCAGGAGGAATCACAGGTCGGGCTGCCCAGCACTCCAGCCCAGGGCCTGTCTGGACCTGCTCTCATGGGGCTTCTGCCCAGCCTGAGCTTCTAGGAACTGGATAACAATTCCATCCAGATTCTGAGGACGATGACAGCAAGCCTGAATCCCAGAATATTGCTTCAGCAAAGCAAGACACATCAGCTGACCATGTGGAAGAAACCCAGCGATCATAGCCACAAAATCCATGCTTCATCCCCCACTGTGCTCCTACTATAACTTCACCCAGTATTTCAGCCTCACTGAGATAGGGGGACAAGCCAGCACACCAGGTGGCCCCCTGATTCGCATAACAGTAATTCTTAAAGGATTTATTTTACATATATTTAGAGGACAGGCTGTATGCAGCCTCCTGGAGCTCAGCTCTGCAACTCGCTCACCAAATCTCAGCTGCCCTTTGAACTGGCCGCTGCCTTCCGGAGGCAGTTTAGGAGCATCTGTCTTTCCTCAAGTCCTGCTTGGGGGTGGAGGCTTCCCGCCTCACACTGGATGCCATTTTCTGAGCCTTTCCCAGGGACCAGATAAACACGTTTGTTCTCGGAGGAGGGCAGGCAAGTGTTTGTCTCTATGCGCTGTAAAGTGTTGTGGGATGACAGGAGCGAGCACCAAGAATCAACTGGGATCTCACCTCATTACAAAGCTTCTGCACTGCAGGAGGAACCAGCAACAGAGCTCAGAGACAATCTACAGTGTAGGAAGAAATTTAGCAGCTGTTCCTCAGACGAAGGTCTATTACCTAGAATCTATAAAGAACTGAAAAAAATCAGACCCCCCCCCAAATTCAAAGACCCAATCCAAAAATGGGCATCTGAAATGAACAGACATTTCTCAGACAAAGAGTAGAAATAACAAACAAACATGAAAAAATGTTCAACATCACTGGTCATTCAAGAGATGCAGATGAAAACAGCACTGAGATTCCACCTCACCCCAGAAAGAATGCCTGCTATCAAGAAATCAACCAACAACAAATGCTGGCAGGGTGTGGGGAGAAAGGAACCCTTCTCCACTACTGGTGGGAGTGCAGACTGGTGCAACCACTGTGGAAATCAGTGTGGAGATACCTCAAAGAACTAGGGCTTTGACCCATTTGACCCAGCTATTCCCTGCTGGGTTATCTTCCCCAAAGAATTAAAAGAATCATATACCACAGCAATATATGCTCACCCATGTTTATAGCGGCACAGTCTGTAATAGCTAAAGCTTGGAAACAGACCAATTGCCCATCAACTGGAGACTGGATAAAGAAGACGTGGGTTTTTTTTATAAAATGGAGTACTACTCAGCCATAAAGAATGAGAAATTAGAGACATTTATAGCTAAGTGGATGCACACTGAGGCCATACTCTTCAGTGAAATAAATAGGACACACATGTGTAAATACCAAATAGTTTCCCCAGTGCGAGAAACTGAAAGTGTAAATAAGGACTAAAAGGTATAATAGATAATGTGATATAGGAAGAAAAGGTCCAAAGGGGTAGGGGAAGTGGGAGGGGAAGGGGAAAGGAAAGAACGGAAAGGAAAATTATAAGAAAAGAAAAGAATGGAAACGAAGTCTTTGTACATAGGGAGGGCAGGGGAATGGGGAAAAAATAAGAACCAAGATCCATCATGTACAGGTACAAGCACCCAATGATAAGTGTAAATGTATTGTATACCTAAAATGTACCAATCAAAGAATTTAAGGAAAAAAAAGTGTTGTGGGGTGGTTCAGCAATCCAGCACTATTTTATCAATCTTCCTGGACACTTCCTGGGGTCCTGACCTCGATTAAAATCCAGATGACCTGCTGCTCCCTGGCCACTCTGCTTAACATTTCTTCAGAATCCAAATCTTCTAATTGCATTTTGCCATTCTGCAGAATAAGAATCATCCACCCTTTTTGTGGAGGAGGAAACTGGCTTCAGGGATCAAGATCCAAGTTCAAGTCCTATAATTCCTAAATTGCAAAGGCTAGATTCGAAACCTCGGTTTCATAAAGTAAGAAAAATGGCCAGGGCTTAGTGAACCCCAGCGGACTGTGGGAAACACCATGCTGGGCAGCACTGGGTCGGTGAAGAGCACGCTGTGGCTTGGGTGGACAGAGGGGCCTGTGTGGCTTCACCTCGGTGTTCTTTATTGTTTATTTTTGTTTTTCCTAACTGGAACAGCTATGTCGTATAAAGAGAGTAAAGAAAAACAGGAACCAAGAGGAGAGATAGTAAAATGAGAAGACTTATTTGGAGTTTGAAGATGTAAATAGTAAGTAATTTGTTGTTGCTGTCACCTAACATGTACTGAGCATTTACTACCCAACCTATGAGCTGGTACTGGTTTTGTTGTTGTTGTTCTTTTATTGGTACATTTTAGGTATACAATTCGTTTACATTTATCATTGGGTGTTTGTACCTGTACATGATATATTTTGGTTGATACTGATTTTTTAAGGCTCCTGGTATCCACGTGTTCTTTACCGGGATCTTTAGACCTGGAAAGAGGAGATTCCAGAGCTCTGTAACAGGGATTTTAGGAATAGTTTACCTGAGAGAACATTTCTCTGCCAAAAGACTCCATAGTTTCATCAGATTATTAAAAGGATCTGTGAGTCCAAAATTATTAAAAAAAACCAAAACTTTCACAGCTCCATAGGATACTCCTAAGGAATTTGTCCCTCCCAGGACCACAGGCCCTGCTGAGCCTCCTGCTGTTCTCACTTTGGGACGCCAGACACAAACAGGCGTCCCTGCCCCTGGGGGTCCAGAGCATGGCCTCCCTGTGTCCACGCACACTGGCCCCTGTGGGTCCTGTACCCCTTGGGGACGCTGCCGTCCTCCCACTGTTCCCTCTCTGCTTCTTCATAAGCACCCACCCTGCTAACCCCACTCGAGGTCCGCACCATCCCTCCGCGCAGCTGTGCCCCGAGCTCTAGCTCTGCCCCCTTCCTCTACTTTGCCCCCACACTTCCAACTGCATTTTCAGAACTACATTGTTTACGCAGTCTTTTCCTTAAACTGCTTGCCTTTTGTAACCCACTTATTCCAATCTCCCTCACTCCCGCTGCCACCCGTTGGGCAGGTTTCTATGCACATTAATATTCCTTTCTCCCCCTCGAAGTCCTGCTGACCCCTCAAGGGTGGACCCAGCGCTCCTCCTCCGCAGCGCTTTTAATCCAGAGCAGTGGCCGTCCAGCGTGAGCATGGCCAGACAGACCTGGGGGACACGCTGGAAGGCAGGCTGCAGACTCAGTTCTGCGTGGCGTAAACCTGAGGAGGCCACAGTCGCACGGTCAGCATCGGGTTGAGCCCCACGCCTGCCAAACCAGCTCAGGCCCTGGGTCACCCATGGTTCAAGAGAGCCCCAGCCAAGGTGGGCGGTCAGCAGTGTGCTTAGTAGTGGTCAGGTCCCTCCAGCCCGGCAGGCAGGGGACACCGGGATGATCTTCACAGTTTTAATTCCTGCAGCAAAGAGCAGTATCAGACAGAACAATTATTTGATACTGCAGATAATTATAAAATTGAGGGCAGAGAAAAGTAGTCTTACAGTTATTTGGAAAGTTAAAGTCCTATTTGCAAAGACAAAACAGTCCTTCCAAATTGTTCTGCAACATAAAAAGAAATGAAATGTATGTGGAGCTTGCCGTCCCACCCTGGGATAAAGGTATCTGAGGACAGACAGTTTGCTTTCTGAAAGATAAGCGTGCCTGCGTGCCTCTTCACGCGGACCTCTTTCACGGAGCGGCCTCGAAGCAGTCCTGCAGAGAGAGCAGGCAGCAACAGAAACCCACTTTATCTTCACGCCTGATTCTTAATCCCTGATGATTCCTGTCTTAGTTCAACAAGGCCTAGCAAACAGGTACGTTGCATCCCTTAAACAGTAACTTGTTTGACCCCAGAGAAAAGTAGGAGCTGAAGTAATAAAAATCTATCTTCTCCCACCCCTCCTCCACCTGAAGACAGTCCTTTTTGTTAGCACTGATTACATGGAATCATCATCACATTTCACATTATGTGGCATGTTCAAGGTGGTACCCTCTCGCTCGACCTGCTGGGCACCGGGTGCCAGAAGGTTAGAGCCCTGGACGCTGCTTCTCCCTTCCCCCTCTCAGACCGGGTTAGGGAAAGGGCCCGGCCTTCTCACCTGGGCCAGGCTCACTGACTGGGGCCTCTCTGGACGCCTTCGGTCTTCTGACTCTCCAGGGTTCGGTAACTCATTTCCTGAAGCCCCACACAGCAGGTGGGCCGGAGCAGGATTTCCAGGACGGCTGGATGGCTTTATAAGAACTGACCAGGATTAGAACCTTGGAGAAGGATGGTTCGGCCTTGTCCTTACGGTGATGCTTTCTCATGACCAGAATCTGGCTGGTGATCTACATTGTTTCAGGCTCTTTCAACAACAGAAATGGATAATTTTATATATTTTTAAAACTCACTGAGAGTAGACCCAAGATTCCCAACAGCTGTGATTTGGAGTGAATCCTCGCCTGGCCCCAAGCTCCTCTGCAGGGCAGACTGGAGCTCAGCACCTCCTCAGAGCCCAGGAGAGGAGGGTGTCAGAGGCTTCCGCTGCCAGCACGGGCCATGGCCTTGGTTCTACCCAGCTGCGTTCTGGCCGTCAGAAGACTGTTGCAAGAACTTTGGCATTTACGTGATGGGGAAGAAATGTTTCTCTCGCCTTTCCGCATGGTCCAAGTATTTCTTACCCATAAACACTCATCCCCCTGTAAGTCAGGGCCTCAAATGATCTGTATTTCCTCTTAAATTTTCTTCATAAATAAAATCCCCTCTTTTTCTCTTTTAATTTTAATTTGTTTTTAAATCAGAATTTCTCCTTAAAATTCTCTTAGATTGTAAACACATTTAAATTAAAAACAAGATGCAGAGAATCTCCCAAAGAAGCAAAGACAGATATCTTAAAGAAAGTTGTTAAAGACATGATTATTTGATAAGATCACTATGGAGATAAAACATTGAAAAAGTTTAAATTGTATTTCTGATAATACACTGACCTAGCAGCAAAGCAAATTAACAGGAAGTTATTACTCTCATATTCCAACTTACTTAATACTCCAAATACTTAATATTTTATAATTTTGTGTTAGCTACTTTTCTCATTGCTCAGATAAATTACCTGACACCTAAAGTTAAAGAGGAAAGGTTTATTTAGCTCACAGTTGTAGAGGTTTCGGTCCATAATCAGCTGGCTCCGAGGCGGGGTGGCACAGGGCAGAGGGGCGTTGCAGAGGAGAAATAGTTCATGGAGCCCACATGGTAACAAAAGCAACAAGGGACCCTAAGAGCGTCTTTCCGCCCCTTTCATCCAGACCAGCAGGATCAGGTCAGTGCCAAACCCATCAGCGGACTGGTTTAGTAACGACACGCCCTTAATCCGAGTGTCACACGCTCTAATCCAGCCCCCTCTGCAGAAGCCACCTATGAGGCTTTGGGGACATCTAGACCCAAACCATAACAATGATTTCCCTAAAATCCCAATAACTCTAAGATAGGTGTTAATACTTCCAAGCTTAACACCAGAAGCTACTGCTCAGGTGGTGATTAGGCACGCTTCCCCAGTCACCCAGGAATACAAGAAACATGCATGATGCAGTGCAGGAAATAAGGCAGTATACATTATGATGTGTGATGTGTGAATGGAGACGTGCGGAACCTGAAGATGGACCATTTCATACTTAATGACTGTCCTCCTAGCTTCCGATCCCACCTTCTGCCAGACAATGTCACCCTCTAACCTCCATTAATTGGAGTCAAAATCTCGGCTCTTAGATTCACAAAGGAGCCAGTTTGCTAAGTATGAATTTTCCATTGCTAAGAGGGCATAAAAAGAGAAAGGCACTGTTAGCATTTGAGGGATATTTTTGAAAAGAAGAAACAAACAGATTATTCCCTATATACCAGAGTAGAGCAGATAGACCGAGTGTCTGTGGCCTTCACAAATTGCATCCTAGCAAGGAAGCGCTTGTTCCCTCTTCTGGCAGGAAAAAAGCAAATTCCAGGTGGGCTGCCGAGCCATTTCTCAGTCAGCTCCTGGTAAACATAATCCCTGTGCTCCCTGGCTGAGCACCGAGTGTGTCCAGCTGCTCTTAGTGGTGCATTACTCCACACAGGCCTCTCAGGGGAAGGAAGGCATTGTCTGCACACACCACACCCACCCACCACCCTGCAGCAACCGGGGCATCACTCAGCCAACCCCAGGAAGGGAGCGGACTGAAATTTGAGCTTGTCATTCCCAGTCTATAGCGGGGGAGTCCCAGGCAACTTCCTGTAGCTGGACAGAGTGGAAGCCGCAGTGCCACATGCTGACGATCTGAAAGGAAGGGGAACACTAGCAGATTGTATGGCGAGCAGATTGGACAGGCCAGAGCCCAGAGTCAGAAACTTGCTGCCAGCAGAAGGTGGCCAGATGTAGCCCTGGCCAAGCACTCTCTCGCCATCAGGCTGCATTTTCAGCCGTCACTGCTCTGTCCCTCTGTGTATTGATTACCTTTCTCCTCCTGTCACAAAATGAACTTCGCGTCCACACAAGCTGTACGCAGATGGATTCGAGCATGGACAAATGTGAGCATCCATGGTGTTCGACGGGGTAGAAAGAAAAAGGTGCTTTGCTGTATTGTGTTTCTCTTCGAGAATAGAAAATCCAGATTGTCGCGCTTAGGGTCCTGGCTGGTGGGAGAGGCCCTCTCTTGCACTGTGGAAGGGAAATCCAAGGGCAGATGGGGCGATTGTGAGTGCGGGGAACCACACAGCACACAGGAGGGAGAGAGAGTCTGCAGAGCAGATACCTCAAGGGCGTGAAGTAGAAAAGCATAAAATGAGATCGGATCCCCTCGCCTTTCATGTCCCCACTCGTTTTCGGCCTTCCTGGACTCCTTCCTGGTTGGTTCTTGCTTCTGCTGTCTTCCACCCGGGGCACACGGGCTCACGGACCTCTCTGAGTGCTCACCATGCTGTTGCCTTTGTCGCCCTGGCTCTACCTTTGAGACCCTCCTCATTCCCCGGGCGTGCGGACAGCAGGGCATGCTTCTCCCCAGCATGGTTGCTCTTGTATTACTGTCCCTTCTACTTTTAGAGTACTTTCTCTTCACATAATATCTTGTAAATTCAGTTGGAATACAAAAATAGACTCAATGATAATTCGCCGTCCTAAAATAAGGGCGACCCACAAATATTACCATAAGCACTCGGGAATGAGGTTCTGTGGGACAGAGAGAACTTTTGAATCAACCAAATAGCCCTGGGTTTGACTCCTACTAAGGAAGGTATGAAACGCCATTTCACCTTTCTGGTCTCTCTGTGTTTAGCTATAAAAGGATGAGGAAGAGGATGATGGTAACAACTCCCTTACAGTTTGTTAGGATTCAACATAAATTGCCTAGAGATCTACCAAACACAGAGCACTAGCTTAGGAGGTAAAAGCTACTATTGTGAGTTTACTTGACTCAATCAGCAGCTCTATAACAAAGCAAAAAACAAATTTTATTTTTCAATTTTTTCCACCAGGCACTGAAGCCTGCTCCTTTCAGCCCCACAGGGTGAATTTCCCTTGCCTTATCCTCAATCCACCCTTCGCACTGCTGTTCTACCACCTTGCAACGAGCTTGTTTTTACAAGGCTGCCTCTCTTCTAGACTAGCACTTCCATGGTCACCAGCACCTGGGGCTATGCTGGGACACAGTTTCTGATAGGTGAGTCTCCGTGTCAACTTGCCTGGGCATGAGGTGCTCTGAGGTGGGCCAGGCATTGTTCTGCAGGGTCCGTGTGGTGTTTGGGATGAGATCCACACCTGAATCCATGATGTGGAGAAAAGACACTGCCCTCTCATGTGCGTTGGCCTCGATGAGTCAGGTGAATTGAATTGAATAGAACAACAACAAGGAAGACTAAAAGAGAAGCCCTCCACCTGAATACCAAGCTGAACACTGGTCTTTTCCCAGCCTTCAGACTCTACCTGGAACGTCAGGTTTTCCTTGGGTCTGGAGCCTGCCAGCCAGGGGACCGTCATTCGTCACACTGGTTCCTTTGGGCTGGGCCCATCAGCTCTCCTGGGTCTCCAGTTTGCCAGTGACAGACTTCGGGATGTCTCAGCCTCTGTGAGGATGTTAACCAATTCTTGGTCCTAAATCTCTCTCTTGTCTGTATTCTCCAGAGCCCCCAGGAGAAGCCTGACTGATATGATATTGTGTATGATTAATATTTGGTGAACTTAGTGATCTTCCAAAGTGGATAATCTTTATAACAGCACTTTTCAAGTTTGCCTTTGTCTTTGTGTCTTTTGAAAAACAAAAGAATTTTGACATTTCAAAAGTGTCCAGAAGTCTTCCAAAACCCTACTGTGGAGCAGTAAGTGAGTAAGCGGTCCCCCCATTTCTGCATTCTCTAGAAGGATAGCTCTGGGGGGATTTTAAACACTCACCTCATAAGAACTGGTGTAGGGTTTCAAACTGAACTTCAGCCTTTGATCCTCAAATCAGTTTCTGATGGAGAAAGGGATTCTGGTTTGACTAAGAGAAGCTAAAAATATCAAAATGACTTTTTGGACATTTAACAGCTGTTTTTAAAAAATTCTGTGATTCTATTGCAAGTGAATAAGACACATGTGGATTAAATTTTCTTAAAGTACAAAAGGTTTAAAAAAAAAATGAAAGGAAACCGATTTGGGTTTGATTGACTGGAGTGCGTTTGTAACCAATGCCTATGTGTCTCCTCCGCGTCTCCGCCTGGGTTTATGAACTGTTTGACCCTTTTTTTTTTTGGTACCGGGGATTGAACTTGGGCCCTCGCACTTGAGCAGCAGGCGGGGAAACCACTGAGCTACATCCCCGGCCCCCTTGACCCTTTATTTTTGAGGGTAATTATTTCACTCTGTTGGAAGGAATCTATACTTTCCTTGTAAGCATAAGATACTTTCTAAGAGAGAAAAATGCTGTCGTACAGACCCAGAAAGCCGCGAATGTGCGTTAAATGGCCCTTTGCTGGACGCCCTACTGCAAGCCAGTGGCTCTGACTTCGCCTGACCCTGCTCAAAGGCGAGGTTGCCCTCGCTCTTGTTCACTGTCCCAAAGGCGCTTTCCCCTTTACGGAGCTGTACCTGGGACACGGGACCACAGGTCAGAGGCGTGTTCTGTGTTTCTCCTCAGGCCGAGTCTTTAGCACACGTGAAGAGGCTTTCGCTCAGCCAGCAGCTCACGGCAGAAAGGTCGCCTTGAAACCGGCAGAAAGGTCGCCTTGAAACCGGCAGGCGCAGGGCCCCGGGGCTGGCTCAGTGGGCGCCTCCCGACAGCGTGTGAAGAGCGAGACAGACTCAGGGCAGCAGCAGGGACCGGGCGCCCGCTGGGAGGCCGCGCGTTGGATACGAAGATCCAGCTGTGCCCAGCGCCGGGCCACGCTGCCAGCAGGAGCGGGACAGCACGTAACTCTGCGTCTCTCCCCTCCCCCTCCATATTATAGACACACACACACACACATCACACACACACATCACACACATGCACACGTGTGGACATAAAACCTCAGCAAATGAAGGCTCTATAAAATCATACTCCGAGGCTGATACAAAC